CCCCCCCCCAGCTCCCTTTTCCACCCTTTTCTCTTCTTCGCTCATCCTTCTCGGGGCCCTGTTTCAAGGCCTAAACGTGTGTGTATTTGCAAAGCCGGCATCTCTTACAGGACCCGGAATAGGAGCGAGGGAGAGAAGATGGCTGACTTGAACTCCACCTCGTGGGTTTCTTTCAAACCCCGAGCTCACAGGGCTGCTTTGGGAAGGAGGATGTCACCTCCGTTTCCTTTCACCTTAACGGTGGGAAACCTTCTGCCATTCAGAAATAAAGCGCTGTGGGTTGTTTTGGGGTTTTTTTTTTGTCCGTCCTGACCTTCATTTTTCCCTGCTTTTCAGTGCCTTTCTGTCCCTTTATTTTATATTCTTCTCTCGAGTCGGGACACAGAATTCAGCCGATAAGGTGTTTCTTTTTTAAAAATCCTTATTGCTTGGCCTTCCTAGTCCCTTTAGAACTCCCGTGCCGTTGTGTAAAAATGAAAAGCTACGAGAAGATTATACGGTGGCGGTTTTTTAGCTTTTAACACTGCTTTTGTGCCTCTTGAATTACTAAATCCAGTTGCGGGGAAATGAAAAGGAGGGCAGAAATAAGAACATATCCTTAAAATGGAGGAAAGAATTTGAAGTATTTTGAACCAAGTTTGGTGGTTTGGGTTTTTTTTAAGTGAATGTGAAGGAAAATTTTTGTCAGAAAGCGTTTGAAAAGCATTTTGAGCCTTTGACCCTTTGTGTGCAGCAACAGCAGAAGTCCCACAGCTGGCTGGAGTGATGACTTGGCTGAATTATAACCCTTAGCACATTCCGGCTAACCTGTATGTGTCTTAAAACGCAAAACTATCGGGCCTATTCAGATGCTCTAATGAAAAGAGCCACCTTAACAGGGCTTTCCGTATGTCTGTCAAATCCAACCCAGTTGAGTGTGCAATTCAGGAACAGTATCTGGTGGATGCCTTACAATGCTCTAATGTGTTTCTTCAATGATTTCTTTTCTTTGACATGCTTCCTGGAAAAATCTTCCGCTGACAGAATTACCGGCTGAGGAAGGTGAGCATGTCCATCAAATCTTCTGCTAATTCTTTTTGATAATTCATCTTTTTTTTTTAATGTACATAACTAAATGGTTTTGTTACATATTGCAGGAAAAACCTTACTGGAGCTTGTGATTGAACAATTTGAAGACTTACTAGTTAGAATTTTGTTGCTGGCAGCTTGCATATCTTTTGTAAGTATTTCTTTTTTTTATTATTCCATAGGCTTCTGTATCGCAGAATGACAGATGTTCCAATGTATAGGAACTGTACATACTGCAATTGTTTTTCTCAAAAGGTAGAAATATAAGATGTAAAGTAAATCGCTTTTAAATTAGTTGCCTTCTGAAGAGGTTTCTATGTGCTTGAGAACAAAATTTCAGGGAATCTTTCATTGTATGAGTCATAAGTACGTAACTACGCTAGACAGGTATTTTTAAAAGTGCTTCTCATTCAGCCCAGTTTGCTTATTTGAGGTGGGATTTCCCAATGCTTTTGTTGGCTTTGAAAACTAACCTTGAGTAAGTGTTTAACTAGACATTCTTCTTGCCTTTGAGTTAATCGTTATCAAGCTCGATGTATAATCATTGGAAGACATTTTTGGATGCAATGCAGACTGTAAATAGATTTTACATGGCGAATATTCCAGTTGCCTTCCCTTCCTGATAATAGCAAGGTGACAGTTGTTGCTTTTGACAGTGACAAGAATGATGACGGCTGTGATGGCACCATTGTTGACCAAATTTGGTAACTGACCTTTGGATAGTCTAGTCATTAAATGGACATCTTGCTTTGCATATAGGATTAAAAGAATGTGAACACTTTCAACTTAATTTTTTTTTTTTAAAAAGCATGTTTAGGCATTTTTACTTAATGTGTGTAGAGGGTATGTGTTTGCTGGAAAACTGAGTGAAGGCTAAGTATAGAAGGAAGATGAAGGCTCTGTGTCTTGAGGAGTCAGCCAACAGGCAAAAAAGTGTGCAGAATATTAAATTGTTTAGGTAGGATTAAAAGTTTATAGTAGACTTTGCCCTGGAGTTGTAATTAACTACTTTTTTAAAAAAAAGATGCTGCAGCTCTTGGGGGGAGTGGAAATTGTGGTGACTCTTTAGCTAAGGGCGGCTAATTAGGATGGGCAGAGGAGAATGTGCTCTGAAGCTGTTGCGTTTGATGGGGGAAGGGTTGCCCTGTTGTGGCTGCTGCAATATGTACTGTGTTGCTGATCCTCCACCAAGAGAGGCTTCAGCTAGCCCCACACTGACCCCGTTCAAAGTGTTCTGGGTTTTGGTATGCATATACCCTTACCAGCTGAGCAATGATTGGCAGCATTGATCTTAACCAGGGAGACAAATGTGCTTTACTCTTCTCCTTTCTCAGGAAAAAATCAGGCTGGCTCTAGAAAATTGAATAAAGAGGTCATTCAAAAGCTTCCCCCCCCCCCCCCCCCCCCCCCCCCCCCCCCCCC